ACCTCGTAGCTTTCTCTTGCGCTTGGGTTTAATGCCTCAATCTGAAAACAAAAAGGACGTCATATACATCTTGTCCTTCTTATCTTCAAGTGGAGCATGTAAACACTTCAAGTAAAATATTATTCCATGCTTACTTTGTCTGAGGCTCATTCCTAGGTTTAATTGTTTTCAATTCGGCGGAAGATACTTCGATACGCTGGATTGTTGTATATATCGTTATTACAATCAAGAACTTATTCCCGGGGAACGTCTTGAGCAACCGCTACCTCCATTAACTGTAAGATTAATTACAAATCGGAGTGTATTAGACTTATTCTACGCTGACCATTGCTTTTTTTAAAAAAGAAAAATGCTCTCATTTTATTTTTAACTATGTTCAATTTGCGTTTTTGTTTGTTTTAATTCTTGGTAAGCTTATTACAACTTTATTCTATGCTGCTTCTTAATTTCTGTTTGCTTGTGGGTTTGTCGATGGCGTAATACATCTTTTGTTTATTCCCTTATTACACTCACGTTTAGCCTCCCACTGAATTTTATACTCAAATCGTTAAAGCAATTCAATCCTTCGAGCCCGTGGAATTTGGAAGATTAAGGTAAGTTATTAATGCATGTTGAGATTCTACTTGCTCATCATCGTATTTCCTCTATACATATATTATTTTACTGTATAGATTTGCTCTTGCTATATCTATAGCCCACTGCCTTTAGTTTTTATTATCATTTTACTTTCTTGACCTATCTTCACTTAATTATCATCATTTTGTAAGATGTCATCAATATAGGTAAGGTTTTTACCTATTTTTATAAAATCAAAAGTCATTCGTAAGCTCTAAAAACAATCATCAAAAATAAGTATCGTCGATGGTGATGGCAAATATAAGTTTGCCATATCTACGACAGCTATAAATGCGATTTTTAGTTGGCTTAGCTTTACTTGAAATTCACATTTATCCATTGGCCCACCTGTGCGTAGGTCTGTGATATTGTTTTAATCCTAGTTAGGGGTGGGGTTGAAACTCAAGCGAGATTGAAACTGCACTTCACCCTGGATAAGGTGCCCATTCAAGGATCACAGGTGAGTGAAATATGCTGGTATCATCAAGTCTCTTCATATCATTATGGGAATACCTTCACTATTTATTTAGAACTCACCTTAACTGACTCAAGATGACAAAGTTGTTATTCAAGAATTGCCGATAATTTTATATAGAATTTAATATTTTTAGACGCATAACTTTTTCAGCCGTATGCTGCTTAATACCGAACTAATGAATTTTTCTCTTACCTTAGTTAATAGTATTAATTGACCACTATTATAGCTTATTTTTATATAATCATTTTATTTAAAATTCTCTATGTTGATAAGTTATATGGACTATAAATTAGACTGGTAGTCTTTAAACCTACTCTCATCTATTATTAATGTATAATTGCTCATTTTTACGTACAAAAGTAGTATTTGCACTTGAGACGTAGACCCTTAATGGGTAGTCGTATCAAAACCTCTAGCAAACTCGTTTCTAACCTCAAATGTATAAGAGATCCACTTTAGCCTTAGATAAGTTTCCTTGATCCAATCCTGAGATTTGCTGGCTTTTTTTTAGCTAGATCATCCTTGCTGCCTTAGTATTTGTAATGGTTCTTTTTGAGTTATTCATATTCTAAGAGGAATTAATATGGTCCAGATCTATCATTATTAATTAAGTTTAGCATTACAAGAATCTTTGTAAGTATCCTAGTTCTAAAATAGGATGCTTATGATAACTACAAATGCCAAATGCAAGTACAATTATAGTGACCTCCATTTGATTGTGCACTATATTCTTTGGCTTACTTTGAATTTTTTAAATAATATGGCACAACTTTTCGATCCATATCTGGCCTTTTTACATAAAGGGCACCTGCATCGTTTTTCAGTGAAATTGTAATAATGATTCATCAAGGATTATGCGAATATTGAGCATATTTGACTCATCCATCTAGGTCTCATTTCTGTGTTCACGATAGCCTTAATTTATTGATTTATATAGTTTGGGCTGATACGTTGCATATTTTTTGTACGCACATATTAAATGCATTCTAGTGATTTCTTATATTATATAAATTTTCTCACTTTCGAGAGATCGGGTTATATCTATTAATATATTACCTGATAAAAGTATGACTAACAGCTTTTTTGCCTTTTCTTCTTCTTAATTCAGGCGTGATATTTGATTGCTTATTTAATTCTTAATTTTAAAATTTTACTAATTTTCAAGCTGTGCTCCAGGAGATCGGTTTTTAATGGTAAACGATCAACTAAATAGCGAATGGATGCTTGTGACCTCTCTTAAGACGAGACATTCCGGTTTTCTCCCTGTTCGCTGCTTGAAGGTATTCAATTGTCTTGAATGCAGATCTTTTTTCTTGTTTTACTTTACTGTTACAAGTTTTATCTTTAGGCTGCACTTTTATTTAGCGATTTTGTTTGATTTACTCTTATCGCTTATTTGATTCTACTATTTACACTGGAATTTATTTTTGTGAGAAATATTTTTTCTGTATTTATTTATTCAGAATAAATTTAATCCACACTATTTATGTGCAGACATAAGAACTACTTTGGGAAACATTTCCTTTACTGTGTTGGCTGATAGTTGTGCCTTGGTATTTTTTTTCAGGTACACCAAACAATGAAGCAACGATGAGTCTCTTGTCTATAAGCTTTTTAAATT